ATGCAGATTTTTAGAGGATAAAAAGTGAAATGGCACTCTTCGTCTGATATTGATTAATTACATTTTTTAACCACCATATATTGAATTTTGTGATCATTCACATGCATTGCATTTTAAGGGTTCCAAATACGTAACGCTTTAGAACCTTTTAAGGTTCTATATTGAACCTTTTCTTCTAAGAGTGTAATTGTTACAGCAGACACAAAGCGAACAGAACATTTCAGCACTTTAGAATACGGTTCCTTCGTTAATGAATAACTACACAAGAACAATGAGTAACACAATATTAACAATCTAGTAACTATTATTAACTAACAAGAAACTCTGATTAACAACTAGTAAGTAATAGCGCACAGACGAAAGTGGTACTTCACTATTAAGTAATCAATACTTCTATTTTTTTTAATACTTCCCAGAGAACTACTGAAAAAGTTTATTAACAATCTAGTAACTACTATTAACTAAAATAAACTCTTATTAACGAATTAGTAAGTAATAGCTCACAGATGAAAGTGTTACTAGATACTTCTGTGGGAATTACTAATTATTTGGATTCGTATTATAAAGTGAAGATCATTGGAACTAACTAATGACTCAAGTGTTACTACATGATCTAGTCATGATTTGTGCAACCGTTGTAACTTGTTGTATTATCACAAATAAATTGGATGTTGCACTTAAAATGCAATGGTTTACCTAAATAAATTATCGCCTAATATGACAATTCATATTGTGTCTTTCTGTCATTTGCACTAAAAACATCCCTGTCTCATGTTAAGGTCCCTAACCCCTCACATAATGATGACACATTGCACTCGCACATATCAATTAGACATTATTAGTGTCATAATAGAGTTCAAGCCATTGTTTATGGCCTGACGAGCCGCGTGTGAGTTTTAGTAATAGTAGTTTTTGACAATCAAGTGCCACCCCAAATAAAAGACTGGCACAAGCTGGCCCCCCCAGAAATAATGTCCTGGCTACGCCCCTGCCACCAGAGTATATCTTTCAATTTTTTTCATGCTGTGCTGTTATTTTTTTTTTATATTTTCATATGCCATACATCAAAATAATCCTTACTCTCCCAATTTGAAGACTATGTTTGTAATAAATCAATAGTAACTAGATAAATATCTCAAAAGTGCAATAAACAAAAAGAAAAACAATTAAAAAAAAATTCTACATATTTTATTCAATACAAAAAAAATGATAAATGTCAACCTCAAACTTGTCAATGTGAAAACGTGCATAAAACAATTTTAAACTATACAGAATTGATTTGAACTGTTTACATAAAACTAGTTTTTAAGATACACTTATTTTTACACTCATTCAAAAAAAAAAAAAAAAAAGGGGGTAAAAATGCCATGTAAGATATTCAATTACATTTGTGGTCAAACAGATAACATTTTGCTTTTGAATATTGATTGAACATTGAATTGGTTCAATGCACAGAACGTGATCCGTCGATGAGCCATCGGAAGACGTAACTATCAATCGCAGATCTACAGAACTTGTGCAAAGACGTGCAATGCATTTTTGTGTATTTTTTTTTTGTAAACGCATATTACGCTATTTGCACAGACTCATTAGAGGGTGAAAACAACGCAACATGAGCATGTTCTGAACATGTTACATCTCTGGTTTTGTATGCAAAACGAATGATTGAGCTAGCCATTTGGTTTTAGTTTCTATAGGCCCTTAAACAGACACACGCAAACCGGAGCACCGGCGCTCCCGCCGGTCTTAGAGGGCTAAATAACAGTACAACCCACTGAAGAGATGCATGTCTATCCCTCACAGCCTCGCTTTCATTCCCGCTAAAGTCAAAGATGGCGCTGCTGTGAATAAGGTCTATACAGGATTTATTAGTGAATATTTTACAAAGATTAAGAATTTAAGTTTAGCTTAGTTTATTTTTATCCTGAAATGTATTGCAATATTGGGGAATAACTTAAAATTAGAGATTCACGTATGATATTGGCGGATAAAAGCAATTATGTTCACAATCGGCCGATTATATCCTGTCAATCAAAAGGGGCGGAAAAACATGTCAGACTGCAACTGATGAAAATGCTTTGTGTTGAAAAGGGGGTCTGACATTTTTGTGGATTTTTTTTTTGGAACCACTGGTCTACAGTTAGTTTATAAGTTAATTATATCATCCACAAGGGGGCGGTATTATACCTGAAAATCATGATAACCAAGAACCACCACGATGAAATGGTGTATCAGATGGGGACCGTCATCTACCCAGTCTCTTTGATTGCTTTTAAATGCTAAATATGAATATATTCTCAACATATGTGTGCTGTGCTTACCTCCTCCAGCTGACTGTGCACATGCTGCACGATGAGATCAATGGCCACCATGTTGCCGCCACCTACAGGAGATAAGCACAGGAACCAAAATCAACATCACTAACAAAGCTGCTTTATTCCTAAAACCGTATTCTGGACAAATGTGGGCAAAATAGTTACGATTTATTTAAAAAAAAAAATACTTCCCTTGATCTGAGCGGTACAAGACTTGGCTACTTTTCCTAAGTTTGCCTCCTGAACACACAATTTTTTTTGACTCAATTCTACAATGTTAAGTGAGTGAGAAATAAAAACTCCTTAATCTTGTATTTGGGTAAAAAATGGGCACCCATAGAAATGAATGGGAAAAACTGTAATTTAGAGCGCTCTAAAATAAGCCAAAATAAGACACCAGGTTACAGCAAAGTCACTTCATCTTTAGGTTTTAGCTCTAAGAACTTATTGGAATTTTAATGTAGCCAAAAAAAAAAAAAAAAAGTAAAAAATAAAACATAAAAATAAATATAATTTACATAGAAAATATGGTACTTTTTGAAGTAAATAAATTCAAAAATACCCCCAAAATAAAAACACCATGAATGGATATACAAAACTTTATGGAAGAGAGTGATAACATTTATAATAAATAAAAAATTAGGATCACACCTGAGTCCTCTGTGCCCACATTTGTCCACAATTACAGGATTAAGGGCTATAAAGTGAATACGGTTTGAGGCCTACAGCAAGCCTTCAAGGTCATCAAAACAAGCATAAGCATTTTTCATAGATGTACAGTATGTGATTGGTCATCAAGACACATGTGATCCAAGTCGGCCGTTACGCCAATTCTCCCATGGTAGAAATGAATCCCATACTACAGTGAACTCAGCATTTGTATTCTAAATAACTAAAGTATTTTTTAATAACACACAACAGTATATACTATGCTAGATTTAGAGTAAAATCTCATTCTGAAAGCCTCACTCACCACGTGGCACCACAATATCCGCCAGTCTCATCGTGGGCTCGATGTATTGTTCAAAGGCCGGCTTCACAAACTTGTTGTATTGTTTGATCACTCCCTCAATGTCACGGCCTCGCTCTGTGATGTCCCTCCTGAGCCTCCGTACCAGCCGGATGTCAGAATCCGTGTCCACAAAGATCTTCATGTCCAGCAGCTGAGAAACAGACGGGTGATGCTCCGGATCAGCTCAGTGATAATGACATTTGCCAGCTTCTCACTATCACATTATGAAAGACAGTTGTTTACCTTCAGCAGCTCCTTATCTGCAAATGACATGATGCCCTCAAATATAATCACACTGGCCCCATACACCGTTTTCTGCAAACAGATAAACACTCATTAAAACTCAAGCAATAAAATATACTAGGTATTCTATGTATAATTATTTTGTGTATCCCAAGAAACTTGCCCTACAGGTCAGAAGCGGAATTGTCCATTACCGCTGTCGTAAATAATTTAGCCTGTCGCACGCGCACTCACGCACACACTCTCTGTTTGTCCAGCATCGGCTTTGCAATCATGATGACAATGCAAAAGCTACCCGACTGCAAGGTACTGTATCTTACATGTAGTTGTAGTCTACTGTCGAGTACGCACCACCAGTTGGCAATTGTAACGCTTGACATAAAGCAAGTCAAATTTGTAGTTTTCTTATGTCTAATAGGACTACAGAAACGCGACCCAATCTGGCAATCTTACATAGCGTGGATATATCAGATAAAGGACCGTAAAGCGGTGGCATAAGTGCATTATACCATGTCACGACTTGATGAACCACTGAAACGGTTTTGAAAACATTACCTTAAAGGGATACTCCACCGTTTTTTTTTTTTCATATTAAACTGTTATTCCCTTAAAGGTGCCATATAACATCATAAATCAAATCCTACTCCATATTCCATAACAGATGGGGGCAGTATACCTCCAAAAAATGACTTGTGCCTCCTACCATCGCGCATGTTACTCAAATCATTTGACATGATAGTAAAAGGTTGGAAGACCGCAGTTTCACGTGGAACATTTGGAGATTTTTAGAGATCAGAGACTCAATGAACTAAACACTAAAGTGAACTAAACTAAACACTATGAATCTCAACACTAAATGATGAAGACCGCCTCATAGATCTCAAAAACAAGCTGGTGCATTTCGACGGCATGGGAAAATAAAAGCTTGGGCAATTATTTGAAGTTTATGGTATTCGTTTTGTTCATATTACACTTTTATTGTTAGTGAATTAATTTGACAGACAGCATTCGCTGATGTTGATCAAGCTAGCGCCGTGAATTCACCGTGAGACACACGCAATTGACACTTAGCAAGCAGGTTAGTTAAGCTCTCAGATTCTGTCAATTATATTACGCAATTCAAAGAATAAATACCGTTTTGGCGCTTGTACATGTTACACTACAGATCCCTAGCGCACGTGAACCGATCATCTCTAGCTAATGGAAAAGAACACGAACACTGTTGAAAGATACAGTATGCTACAACTTACCAAAATGTATTCCTCATGCATAATGTCGACCAATCATTTTTTGAACTCTTCCCTGAACTGAAATGTGGTAATGGGCTGTATTTCCACATGACTGACATCAGGTTCAAGTACACACAAGCCGGCCGGCGCGAGCGCGACTCACTCGTCTATTGCAGTTTGGCTGGTGCTAACGTTGCCCGTCCGCATACCGCCTCCCATGGCCGGAACTGGTATTACGATACCTGCCGGGCCGGGGCTAGTAATTTAGCATGCTAATTCAGGTTAATATCTCGGCAGCACTATAACTTGTCAGTTTTTTAATGACATCTTTGCACTTATTTCTTCTCATTCTTTTGATGCGTGTAGCTCATTTTTCGTATATTGTTACCTCAATTATTACATATGCCACCTTTAACTAAGACGAGTTGTTGAATCCTCTGTCTTCTCAGTGCGTGCACTCAATCGCTCTGGCGCGCGAGACACTTTGATCAGTTCATTCAATATGGGTCGAGCAGGGAAGCGACCAAACACCTTCACGATTTCCCTATTTAAATACAGTTACACGAGTGGTGACACAAAATAAAATGTTGCGCTTTTCTAAGCGTGTAAAGTGGATAACTATATTGTATGGCGGAATACCACAGCAAGTGATTGGGAGCACTATGACTCGGCGCAGTGATATCATCACTCGTGAAAAGTCCTCTCCCCCTCTCACTCTCCGCAGTGATGATTTTACAGCGTCGAGTCCATAGTATGCGCCGAAGTCGAAGTGCTCCAAAGTATTCCGCCATACAATAATATACTGCCCTACAAAGCAAAAAGGCAGTAACTGCAGTTTTGATAAAGCATTAATTATTACAATTTTCATGACATTCAAGGCATCCTTTGTTATATGACAAAACATCTTATCTTAAATGCGTGTCGTTTTAGATAAAAATGGTAGTTATTTGTACAGTAACTGCAAAAAGCCCTAGCAAAAGTCATTTTTCTCAGTTCTGCACTCTGCGTAGTTACTGCCTTTTTGCTTTGTAGGGCAGTATAGTTATCCACTGTACACGCTTAGAAAAGCGCAACATTTTATTTTGTGTCACCGTCCTAGGTCGAGTTACACTACTTGTGTAACTATAATTTAACCCTCTGGGGACTAAGCCCTTTTTGGTTCGTTTTCTCTATTTTTACATTTGGGCTTATAAACTACGTATATATGTAATGGAGATGGAACACTATGTGTTTGGTATCTATGGATTCAGAAGACCCTAAGCTAACATAAGCATGCATGTAATGTGTTTATAAAGGAAGTATGAGTGAAAAATGTACAATAAACTAGATAATTTCAAAAACGGAAATTCGATTTTTGTCATTTATTTCTGAAAATCACACAACAAAAGTGAAGTTTTTGGACAAAAAAAAATATTTGTCAAAGCCTTTGCTTGACAGACATGTGTAATTGTTAAATAAAATGTGTAAAGAACAATGAAAAATCTAACTTTATTTACAAATAGTCCCAGGCGTTTTTCTTAAGAATGCTTTCTCCTCGTCACTCTCCAGTAATTGTTCCAGAGCCTGTTCCACCGTAAATCGTTTACTGCTTGCCATCATAAAAGTGATAAAATGCTAAAATAATAAATAAATAATGCTATAGCATTATTATATATATATATATATATATATATATATATAGGTATATATATATATATATATATAATAATTCTTCTGTCTCTCTCTCAGTTAAAGCTCAGTGCGCTCTCGCTCCGTAAAGCCTTTGTTTATACTCGACGCGTCCATTCACTTTCTGTCGTCGTCTCCACTCGACGCTGTTTGCGTCATATCCCTTACTATATAGTACCACCCCTTGCAAGGCTACAGAGACCTCCGATTTGCTAGAATACGTCATGGTAACCTTCCCCTGATTGGGTAAGAAAAATATTTCTCCATCTGCAATTTTTCCATTGGTTGTTGCTCGTGAATCTACCAAACATCGATTTCATTGGCCTTTGACGGTGTGTACACAAGCCGGCTAAGTTATCACTGTTTTCAGCGGAATCTGAAGAAGACGGCAAAAAGCACCTCTCGATCATAAATAGTTTTTAAGATAAGTACACATTTGTAATAGTATGTAATGTTGGGCGGTAAACCCAATCCATCCCCAGAGGGTTAAATAGGGAAAACGTGGAGGTGTTTGGTCGCTTCTCTGCTTGGCCAATATTGGATGAACTGGGCTAGTTAAGTGCGATCAAAGTGTCTTGCGCGCCAGAGCGATTGAGCGCACGCACTGAGACAACAGAGGAATGTATTAACTTTTCTTAGTTAAGGGAATAACATAGTTTAATATGAAAAAACGGTGGAGTATCCCTTTAAGGTAAAAAATCTTACTTAGTGTTGCTTTAAGTGTGATTCTAGTAGAGAGACGGTAAACCAGCAACATTTAATATGGATAACTTAAACTGTATTTCAAGCACTTTTCAGTATAGTTGATTAATATTGCGGTTGGCCACTTTTTCAAACGGTATCTTGCTTGTAGTTAAGCCATTTTAAATCCATGAAGCAGTTTTCCCAAAAGTGATAATTTACATAAATCTGGCATTTTTCAAGCTATATAGAAATATGAGGAAGTCACTCACCCATTCTTTCTGCCGTCCGTGCGTGGTGAAGTCATACACTGGGATCTTCACACTCTTTCCCTGCTTGAGTTTGCGGAGTGTGTGCACTAGCAGGCTGAAATCAAAGGCGTCTGGATGGTCAAAGTTGTAATCGTTATTAGCGGCCAGCAGCTGCTGTTCGGGCGTCAGAACCTGCAGGAAACACGTCACAACAGATGCTCCAAGGTTACACTTCTGACTCCAGGTCAGATATCTGCCAGCGGTGTGCTTCCAGATCAAGGATGATAACCGAAAGGTCGTAGGTTCAAACCTTGAGCCAGAAACCCAACAATGCCATTGCACTTGCACTTCATGAGTGTGCATTACACTGCTTTTACCACAGGTTAGACATGACGCACAGGGGTAATCTATGGTAAAATCACTGTAACACACAACCATGAGAGGCTTAATACTCCAATAATAATGGCAGCAAAAACCAATCTAATAAATATTAATTAAAAAATAAAACAGTTAAATATTATTATCAAAAGTGACATTTAACGATTGCTTAGCATTTAGTGAAGACATTTATAAACAAGATATTTCCATTTCAAATAAATGCTGTGTCAAAGAATCCTGGAATAATCAGTTTCCAAAAAAACAAAAAAAAATCTTGTGCATAAAATCATCATAGAATGATTTCTGAAGGATCATGTGACACTAAACACTGGAGTAATGGTGCTGAAAATTCAGCTTTGATCACAGGAATAAATTATGTCTAAATAAAATATATTTAAAGAGAAAAGTTTTTTAAATTGTAATAATTTAACATTATTATAGTTTTACTGTATATTTGATTAAATGCAACCTTGGTGAGCACAAAATACTTTTTTAAAACAGGAAAAATGTTTGACAGTAGTGCATTATATTACTAACAAATCAGATATACAGACTTAAACTAATAGAAATAATAGACACTGATATGGAAGCAAATAAGAGACATAACTATTTGAAATTTAACAGCCATTGAATACTTGGTTTTGAAATATTTAAAACATTTATCAGAATTTATTTGCTCTGAATTCACCCCTTTGAAATTTTTTTACTTTGGAAACCATGCATCTGAATTTATTTGTTTTGAATTTACGTCTGAAATTTAAATAGGCCTATGAAAATTCTTGATTTCCATTTTAAAAAACTGAATTTCGGTTCGTATTTTTCAATGCTCACAAATTCGACTGCTTAAATTTAGATTGAAAAATTCAAATTAAATATTCACATGGTAACATCTGGGCTATCCAGGATAGGAAAAACAGCTGAGCCTGTGTAGTCTATGGTAGAGACAGAGCGCATTTAGGCCACGCCGGGGGAAAAAACAATCCAACCGTCTCCATTGATTTGCATTGTGAGAGGCTGCCTCCTTATAACATACGAAGAGTTCAGATGCAAAAGCCTCTGAACTCTTCATATGTAACTGTAAAAGTCAGCCTATATGGAGACAAAAGTATAGGCTACAGCCAATATAAGACGTGAAGCATCAGCAGGAAGAATGGGTAAATCTCCTCTTCTCAGGTTCACATAGGGTGGTGAAATAAGCTAACGACATGGTTAAAATTATGAATGTTTTTTGTTTGTTTGTTTTTTACCAATACGTCACGTTCCAGTGGGCGTAGTTCTCAGAGTAGTAGCCGACAGCTTATAAACAATTATTTATGGGTTATTTCGCTTTTTTGCTGTACACCTTGTCTCACAACAGCTTTTAAACATTGTTTTGTTTTTGTTATAAGTCATAAATGACAAGGAGGCACCCTCTCGCAATGCAAATCAATGGAGACGGTTGGATTGTTTTTTTCCCCGGCGTGGCCTAAATACGCTCTGTCTCTACCATAGACTACACAGGCTCAGCTCTTTTTCCTATCCTGGATAGCCTGGATGTTAATACCATGTGAATATTTAACATGAATTTTTCAATCTGAATCTGAGCAGTCGAATTTAATCAACCTGAATGTATTTTATCTGAAATTCTGTAAGTTCATTTTTTTTTTATCTGAATTTGTGAGCATTGAAAAAAATATTCATCGAAATTCAGGTTTTTAAAATAGAAATCAAGAAATTTCATAGGCCTATTTAAATTTCAGAGGTAAATTCGAAACAAATAAATTCAGATGCATGGTTTCCAAAGTAAAATAATTTCAAAGGGGTGAATTCAGAGCAAATAAATTAGATAAATGTTTTTCAAAATAAAATATTTCAAAACTAAGTATTCAGTGGCTGTTAAATTTCAAATAGTTATGTCTCTTTTTTGTTGCCATACACTGACTGCTCTCACCTTTTGACTAATACATTTCCATGATTTTTCACCATCATTTTGGCAAAAAAAAAAAAAAAAAAAGGATTTTTACATTTGTAAAAATGATTTTGTGAAGAATGGCTAAAAATTGTGAAGGCAAACAAAAAGTAAAACAGTATATATATATATATATATATATATATATATATATATATATACACACACACACATGTATATTTATACATATATATATATATATATATATATATATATATATATATATATATATATATATATATATACGTATATATACTGTAGGGAATGCATTGACGTCACTTTCCCGCCGGAACAACCCCCCTCAGCCTGACTGAGTGGCAAAAGATCTGCAGCGTGACTGGATTTAATAGGGGAAACTGCGAAAATGCGACTAAAACGAACAATTGTATCAATTTAAACTAAATGTTGGACTCAATATAGTGTTCCTTACAACTTACTAAAGATCCAGTGACCCATGGATATTGACATGCAGCCAGGAATCGTGTTCATGACATTTATGTTTGACCGGGGAAATAAAAGCAATAAAGACCTAAACATAAAGCAAATTTGCCTGTGAACACTTTATATAAATACAATATAGGTAAGTCTAAATCCGGGTGATCACTTGTATCAGTGTTATATATAGCCTATATATATCATCATATCGTCCAGCCCTAAAAATTTATATATTTTTTTTTTTGGTCAGTGTTTATTAAAAAAACATCCCATAATACAGAATATGCAATGATAAATATTTAATTGATGATCTGTTAATATATATATAACAATACAAAATATATGGGCATGGTTTTACACCTAAATTCAGCATATCGGCACAAAATGATAACTGCAAATCCACCTTTCACTGAGTCCAGTTGTTTCTGTGAATTGCAGCGATCCATTTGCTCCTCTTTCTATAGCAGTCTGTAAAAATATACCTCTGATTTTGTTGTCAAATCTAGTTGTACAGTCAATCGCAAAGTTCTTTCCCACTTTATATGTGTTGTGTTTGTTTTTCGCGGCATTCACTCTGAAAACAAATACAGCCGCTCAGTCTTTTTGCCACTCACTGTGAGTAACTGCGGGCACTCCGGCTGACGGTGACGTCACGTGCATTCCCTATATATATATATATATATATATATATATATATATAAAATATTGCAACTTCTGACTTTTTGCAACTTTTCAAAACTGTACTAATTTCCACAATTTTTTAACTGCCTGATATTTCCATGAATTAAATACGTTAATCTAAGCATGAACTCTCTGTATACGAGTTGCACTAATTCATATTCTCCAGACAAGAGAACGTGCTCAAAACACCTCCATTCTTCCTGGAAGGATATATTCTCGTATTTGCCACCCAGCCTGCAGAGACAGTGCCAGACTCCGGAGTAAACGAAGTGTGTGGTATTATTACCCCCCTCCTCTCGTTGGGCACACGGCTAAGGCCAGCTGAACTAAAATTAGGAGGAACATTTACACACAGGTACACGCCGCACACATACACAGGGTACTTTCTTCACTGTGTTATTTGGCCTTTTCCTCTCATATAAAATGTAATGATTTCTCTTCAGATATGCAAGAACAGCTGGTAAACCATTTAAACGAATGCCTAACTAGTCTAGGATATTTGCTGTGATCCACCTGACAGGGTCATTCGCATTCCTGTCTGTTTAACAGAGCTTACTCAAACGGCATTAACACACAACGGCTTGTGTTTTAATGCTGGGCTGCTTACGGCTGTAAAGATGCTTGAGTTTCTCGGCAGCACACCTGAGATGTTTCTCTGGCAGACGTGAGAGGATCTGAGAGGCGTTTACTCTGAGATTCCACAAAGACTTAATGGATTATATCAAACAAACCATTGGTTTTGGACCACATTCGGGTCGGTTTTTCCATGTACTGTGTGATAACTTCACGTTTGCCATGAAATTGTAAGTGAGCAATTTCAGCCATATGGCTAATTTCTGTAGTTTGGTTTGCTTCAAAGCTCTCTCTCCTAAACCCTTCCCACAAAAGACATTTCAGCGAACACTCAAAATAAAACACAGCCAGAGAGACAGCAGTTTGTTATTGTAAAAAAAATAATAAAAAAGTGCCACTCCCCAAAATGACTTATTATTGCTGTGTACAGAGCTTAGGGCTGTCACAGATATGGGTGTGATTTCCCAGATAACATGTCAGTAATATCTGTAGTAGGTAGCATGAACGTTTAACGTGCGAGAGATATACAATGAGATGACGGCGTTACCTTGTAGAAGGAATCCATTGAGAGAAGAACGACCCAAGGAACATCCAAAGCCTCGATTATTTTACGAGCAACTGTTGTTTTGCCTGAGGCGCTGCCTCCACAAAGCCCTATGGGTAAAAAAAGACCAATAAATTGACATGTGACGACGGTCGACGATGAATGTGATGGTGTATGAGTTAACAATAGGGATTTTCACACTTGATCTAGTTAACCCTGGGTCAATAAAACTTGGGTCAATAAACCTTGGGTAAACAGAATTATCTTAAACAGATAAACAGGTTATCTTTCTTCACATTTCACACTGCTCAGTTTACCCCAGGTTAACAATGAATCCTGGGTATTCATGAGCGGATGTTTCACTGTAAACTTGTAAATCCTGGGTTAATGTCCTTATTTGCATATTTGCAGCCAGTGTCACTGATTGGACGAACGCAGCACGCGACCCGCTTACATAAAGGCTCTAGCATTGCACATCCTCGTATTATACAGTAGTAGCCAACCTTTGAGGTAGATCAAAAAAGTTCAAAGTTGCCCTAAGACAAGAACGGGTATTGTTCAAAATTAATGTATGACTTTGATGAAAGGTTTAGATCCACTTCAAACGTTATCGTAGCCAATTATCAAGTTTATACTAAACTATAAAATCAAAAAGTTAAAAAATAAAACTGTTCCTTTGTCATGTTTTCTGACACCATTTGACATTTTCCCCATAAGCATTGAAACATAACCTACTGTTTATACAACACGCTGTCCAAAGCATGTGAATATGAGGCATGTGATTGGCTGCCAGTTGCGATTAACACAGCATCATCTCACACAGCACAAGTTTAGCATTGCAATGCGGCGTTAACAGCGCAAAAGGGGTTTTATTCCTGCTCCAGATCAGGAATTTATTACCCTGGGTAAAATACGGCACGAACACACTTCTAAATTGCTTCACCCGGAGTTAAAGGCACACTATGCAAGAATTGTACCTTAATATAATAGCTTTTAAGTCAGTTCGGTGGTAAACAAACTCATAGTAGGGCGAATCATCCTGGAAGTGAAGCTTGGGGGGGACGCCGCTGGAAAAACCAGCAATGCAAGTTTGCGAGGACAACACAGTCGGAAGAGACTAGGAAAAGGAAAAGAGAATGAGCCTCTCAACCCGTAAATAAATGGATCGATCCGCAAGTTTTGTTTGAGTTCTTTAATGGTCTAGTGGGAGATCTTTTGCCAAGGTTTTTCTATCTCATCAAAACTGAATATGTTCATCAGTGTTTACAGTCTATATAAAGCAGGGACACATTTGTGTGCATTTTGTGATTTCACCGGAATGAATCAAGTCTCCGCATCGGCGATGTACGGTGGCCGAGAGGTGCAAAACAAATCACAATTATAAAAACAAAAAAACAAGTCAGAAAACACAACGACAATTCAGAAAACAAAATAACAATTCAGAAAACACAACAACAAATCTGAAAACAAATTAACAAATCAGAAAACACAAAAACAAATCTGAAAACAAATTAACAAGTCAGAAAACACAACGACAAGTCAGACAAAACGGAAAAGGTAGGTATATGTGGCGAATGGAATACTGATCGCTGATTGGACGAGACATCTGTCAATCAAGACATACAGGCAGAAGAAAGATCGATTCACGTGTGCATGTAAATATTAGCTGTATCGTCTAGGCTAGGGCTATTCAATTGGCGGCCCGCCAATCATCTCCATGCGGCCCGAGAGCACTCCAACCTCCCCCCCCCCTATTTTCTGGTGGTGCGGCTAAATTTGGTTTGTGCGTGGCCGCAGTGGCGCGTGCAGCTGTATACGCACTGTGTGTGTACCACGAGCGCTCCGACTGACCTGAGAAAAACGTTTTCAGTCCAAATATTTCAGCAGTTAATATGTGTGTCCCGTATTTCTGTCGACTGAACAAGCGATATTAATCATTCGTTGGTTCGATTCCTATCGAATTGGCCAAACGCGCGTGCATAACAGTAGGAAACGATTCGGATTCGTTCGGACCGTTCTCTCACTGAATCATCTGAAGCGGTTTCTCGGTCAGTAAGAACAAATAGAGAGCAAAATAGCGCTGGGTTCAGTTGTTTCACTAGTTTACTTTGAACTAGGCAGCGCGGTCCAGTGGTAACCGAACGCAAGCTTAAAGGAGTTGCGTTTACTAATAGTGGTAGGAAGATTTTAATTTGAAAAGTTTTGTTCTCCATAATATCACTAAATTAGCCGGTTAAATAGACAGCTAATATTTACACATACACATGCGAATCAATCTTTCTTCTGCCGCAGGCGCAGTCTGCTGTACTTTCTGTATGTCTTGATTGACAGATGTCTCGTCCAATCAGCGATCAGTATTCCATTCGCCACATATACCTACCTTTTCCGTTTTGTCTGACTTGTCGTTGTGTTTTCTGACTTGTTAATTTGTTTTCAGATTTGTCGTTGTGTTTTCTGATTTGTTAATTTGTTTTCAGATTTGTTGTTGTGTTTTCTGAATTGTTATTTTGTTTTCTGAATTGTCGTTGTGTTTTCTGACTTGTGTTTTTGTTTTCATAATTGTGATTTGTTTTGCACCTCTCGGCCACCGTAGCGATGGATTGAAGAGCGCGTCCGAGTGAAGAATGCACGCGCGCCAAAAGAGACACTATGTATCTAATACACCAATAGCAGCGGACACGAGCGCTCAGCTTGAGTTCAAAAACAAATTTTAGCGCTAGACCTCTTATTTAATGCAAAAAATGCACACTATGCAAGACTTTTACCATAATATAACAGCTTCAAATGGGTCCGGTATTTGTTGAGAGATTTGTTGAGATTTAACCGACCTACTAAATGAACATACCCCTATTTTTGACACGAGCTGGCCTGTGTGCGTCTCTCCTTTATGTTGAGGGTGGTGTCCGTCCGCCCGTAACATATTGGGGGCTCGTCCGGGATCAATAGTTTGATTAAGTCGGACTTCAGTGTGTAAGTTAGTGTTACTTGCGAGACTTTTTGAAGGCTACAACATTTTGGCGAGTATTCTGGTGTGCAATTATGATTGTCTGTTTATTTGTTTAGTCGGTGGTTTATTTTATTTTTGGTGGATATCTCACGAGGGGGCTCGGTGGGAAGCCTCGAGCTGAGTACGCCACTGAAGATTGCGTAGATATTTAGGATTTTTTTGGGGGGTTTTGTATATAGTTAGTTAGAGTAGCTGGACAACATTTTTGCCTATCAGAATACTCTTTAGTTTAGTTGTATAGCTTGTGTTATCTGTTGGCATATCGCCTATTTGATTGAGCGCTGGTGTTGCCTACTAAGGTTGTACTAGCGTATTAGGTAAATTTAGGGGTGGACATTAGAATTTGTGGTCGTTTGTAGCCTGTATTGTGCTTTTTGCTTGACCACTTTAGACATTTGCTACATTGTAGTTTAGTCGCAGTTTAACCTGCTTAGGTGAGTTTTTTTTTTTTTCTTACGTGATTTTGGTTTGATTTAAGTGTCTGTTCGCATTTAGAATGGCAACAGAGGAAGCATTTGTTAAAGAACCCTCTACTAAATTATTTAAAAAAATTTCCAAAGAGCAGTTGTTAAATTTGGCTGCCACTTATGAGGTTGAGCTCACTTCTGCTGAGAAACGTAGCAAAGAGCCAGTCAGAACTGCTTTACAAACTGCTTTGCGGTGCAGAGACCAGTCTATGGCAGACGCTCTGCGTGAGTGGTATTTACGACAGTAACATTAAATACAAGTACTCCACAGCGACTCTAGGAGTTGCTGTTTGACAAAAACGGGATTCCTGCATAGTGTGCCTTTAAAATCAGGGTTTAAAGCGACAATAACCCAGGGTTAAGCACAGTGTGAAAATCCCTCGAGATGTTTTCTTTCCCTGGAACGCTTTACTATACCGACCAATAACAAAAGCTTCTTTGGACTGGGTCCCGTGCTCATTGTACCAGGGTGGGCGCCCGGCTGTGTAGATGGTCCTCTTACTGGTCCGCAGCAGCGGAGGCTCGGATTTGCACTGGCTGGTGGATCGTTTCCGTGGCGACAGGCCGGTGTTGACGGAGGGGAGGAGCCTGTCCAGAGAGCCTTCGCCACCGCCACTGTTGAAAAGAGGAAATGAGATACAGTGAACAAGAGAAGCTGCTGTTTCCTGTGTAAATTCTGACTTCCTGATCACAAGCTGTACAGAGACCCAAGGGGGTAATCCATCAGCCGGAAGTTGAAGCCTCGCGGAAGCCGCCATTGTAGCAGAACTTCACCTGCTGTTAGCATCCCATTGACTCCCATTCATTTTGGCGTCACTTTGACAGCAAATAACTTTACATCTGAGGCGTCCAAAGACTTAATTTGTCCACTATTTATTTCTAAAGAAACATGACAGTGTATAAAATGCTCCATTACTTTGTATCTTACGTTACAGCCCCGTAGAAGCCGCTTTTGTAAAAATAGGCTAAAGATTGCATCATAACCATGGGACTTTCTGTCACACAATAGAGACATTACCGTATAGACAGGAGGAGAAGCTCGAAGGCAATCTTTTACTGTCTATGAGGCAATCGGGGGGGACATGAAGGCACAAAGTCAAGGTAGAAGCCCATAAATAGAGAGTCCATAAAAGTAACGGGACAAAATATTTTGACGTTTTTGAGGAATTAGGTGATTCAAATTTATCTTGGCACAGCTACTAGAAGATTTACGACTGTCGTCGCGCTCAGTTTGTCGTCGCGCCCGATTATTGCACTTCCTGCATCAGACAGGAAGTTCAATAATCGGGCTTCAGTCTTCTCCGTTGAAATCAATTTCTTTTACTGTCTATTCAAAGACCCCAGTTCATTCGGTGGCCATCACGGTTAACGCCCCTACCCTATTTACTAGCTTTACCTATGTGGGTAACAGGGCATACAGCTATATTTCAATGAGGAAACTATCTCAAGATCTGATAACGGTGGTATCATAAAATTTGTGGCATGTTGCAACCTCTGAGAAAAACAAAAACCACATATTACTCGGCAAACGTGTTAGCTGAAAATGTAACACATCATCGTGATCAATGAAATGGAGATAACTGGAATATCGTGTTGTCATGTCTAATGAATGTTATGACAGTTGAACTCAAACTAAGCAACTGACCTCATTTTGATCAACCTGTTTGAGTTCGAAACAAATACTACCTTAATAATGAAAACATAACCAAGGCCAGTGGAATCACTAGCATGGCAGGATTAAAGATAACCCAAAGGGCCTGGTTCAAACTAACAAGGTGTGCTAACCATACATGATGCGATAAGATTACGAACAAGTAATTTGATGTGACAGCCAATCAGAAGACCGTGTGAGTCTCTTCAAAGACTAAAATAAACCCTGTAAAGTCTGACATATAAAATAACAGTAAAAAAAAAAACAATTAGACATATGAAACAAATATGATTTGGTTTTTAAATATAATATTACATATAATTCATGTAAATAATAAAATAGTAAGTATATGAAGAGTTCAGATGCAAAAGCCTCTAAATGCCATTTGAAATTTTCATCTTTAATGATGATTTTTATCAAACTTGTATATTTAAGTTCAGTAATTTCACTTAAATAACAATTAATAGGTAATTATCATTGCCATTTAAGTGAAATTACTGAACTTAAATATACAAGTTTGATATCATCATGAAAGAAGAAAATTTCAAATGGCATTTAGAGGCTTTTGCATCTGAACTCTTCATATATTTACATGTACACACGTCCATTACTAATATAATTAGCAATACTAATAAGTATTGCTCTGTGATAAATTGCTTATGTTCTGCTTACATAAAAGCATCCACTAAACGCATAAATGTAAATTATTAGGTACATACTTGTATAAATACACTGTAAAATTGCCATTTATATAAAGTGAGACTAAAAATGTCATTACGCATAGGCCAACTATGCTATTGGTGGATTTAGTTTGATGAAAACATGATTTCTAAGAGCATTTCTGGAAAGACTGATGAGTCACGAATAAACAAGAGAAACAAAATAAAATTGATGGACGCCTACAAGAGACCCTGGAGTTCATAAGCTGCAAAACAATTTAATTTGAGAGAAAAATACTTACTGAAACAGACGAGAAAGCAAGATGTCCTTAAAACATGAGTCCATGTACTTGTCCATTAAGTAAAAGAAACAAATACTACCTAGTACCTACTCTCAACTAAACACCACGTTCGTTTAAAAAAAAGCCAGTCAGATCAAGTTACGCACGACTGCGTAATCCCTAAACAGGCTTACATACTTCGATAAACAAAGCTTACTTCACAACTGCAACTGGTAAAACTAGAATAAAGCCCTGCTACAATATTAGAGAGTGATAGGAGATAAGATGGCACACAGTGGACTCTGCCCTGGCATTTTTCAGAAACCGCAAACCAGTCTGCCGAAGTCTTTCTCTAAAAGGAAATGATAAAGTGACTAATCATTTACTATAGGACTTTCTTCTATACAGTGAACTATCTATACAAAGAAAGTGAATGGTTGTGACTATTAAAGAGCCCATATTATTGCCCATAACATACAGCGTGATTACTTGCATATTTTCCTGAAAACAGCGGAAACAACTTAAAATACTCATTTGAGTAATACATCATTCAAAATTATAAAGGGTCTAAACTATGTTTAGCTACTTACAACAGTTATACGATAGAAGTGTTAAATGACAGTAATGTCCAGCTATGCAAACTACTCAAATTTCACCATTTTGGATTGAAAACAGGCTAATTCATAACAGTGTGATAATAGCACAACATTAACAAAGCTATTTTTGACAGTGTGTGTGCACAAACTCGAATGTGTTCGGCACATGTTGCATTCCCAAATGCAAATTATAAACGGCTCAAACACAAAGCAATTTCAAAGTAGCATTTACTGTGAACTGAAACTGAAAACGAATGTTTCTTTACTCTCAAACACGCAGAGCGTCAGACTACATATTTACGCAACTACATCACAACCGTTGACATTCGATGATCACACTAACCCATATGTCATTCTAATAACCATGCATCGTCAATTTTCATAAAGTTATGGGGCAAGGGTGCTGATTTTACGCACAATTGGCACTTTGAAAGCAAACCATGCATGAGATAAATGTATTCGAAAACATAACATTGTGGAGTTTATTTATTTCTTGGATTAACAATTCACGTGGGTCATACTCTTCAGGTTGGAAAATACAGAAATACGTATAACTGCGGAAATTATAGCCTACATGCCTAAATTATACATTTAAAGATATTAACTACATGTATTTACAATAGGGTTGGTTTTAGGGTTAGTTGCATGAAATTATGCATAATTTACTGTTATTACAGCAGTAAGTGCTAGTGTAACAATACTGTATATCACAATACAAAAATGCAACAATGCGTATTTTGGATAACCCCCCAAAATAAAAATTACTGCGTGAGAAAAAAAATTCAAGTTTACAGAGTTTTAGTGTAAGAACTACATTGAACTACTATATCATGTTGATTATAATGTATAATAATGCAATGGGGGAATATTTGTGGGTCCTGATAATGCCAGTAAAAAGTGGCCGACATTATTTTAAATAAATCTAGTCAGTGAAAGCATGCAAGCATCTACAAGAACTCAGTATTTTCAGCTTCAGAATCATGAATATTGTTATTCTGGCGTCACCATTGTCCTTGGGTTACAAGCACCGAGTCCAAACCTATTCATTTAAACCTACAATGTAATATCAAATTTAGCATTTCAATCAAGTAATAAGTACATTTTTGTTCACCTTTTACCATATGTCTTGGAGTATCGCAATAATATCGTATCGTGAGTTCGAATCGTGACATGAGGGTACCGTTACACCCCTAGTAAGTGCATGTTATGTCAAGGACTCTCTAAAATAAAATGTTCCCAATTGTCATACGGTCACATGATGCCACAGAGTAGTGTGAGCATTCTTCAAAACATCTCCTTTTGTGTTTCACAGAAGAAACAAAGTCAAATGGATCTGGAACAACAACATTAGGATGAATAATTATTTTAGGGGCGAACTAGCCTATCCCTTTAAAAATACACACACACACACACACACCCTAACCTCAACGACAGCACACCAGGAACTTCTGGTTCGCATCACAAGTAAGAGCAGTATGGGAATACACCATTGTGCAGTTTACTAATGGAACATTTTCACTGTAAAACACCTCATTATATAAAAACTGCAAACAGAAAACAAATCAAAACCTGTGAGGAGCCGAGGTGCCAATCGCATGCTTTCAGCAAATGCATGAAACTGATGGATATTTGCTTGTAAAAACAGAGCAGAGTCCTGTCAGCGACAGCTTTGATGATGATGATCTCACTATACAACGCGTCTTTTGCCGCGTTCCAGGCGACCTGTAACTTGTGTTTTTCCAACCTTATACCCGTGAAAGTGCACTGGAACGGCAGTCAAAGCCGTGACTTCCCACCCGTGAACTCGTACTAGACCGATGTCCTCCCAGTTACGAGTTCTGACGTCACATAGCCCGACAGCCCCTACGGATGCAGTGTTTCTGCAGGCGGTAATCGGTGAGAATACACTTTAGGACAATATAACGTTAACTAGTTTTCAGTCCATTGAGTGCAAGGATAAATTAATACCAAATACATTTCCAAATATACAAATTAAGTAAAATAAAAGGTATAACAGCTTATCGTGCCTCATGCGCTATTTTTCCTCCTCAGTTTCCCACAAATAAACAAGGAGTAGGCACATTTGGCGTTAGAAATTATTACAAATGCGCGTGAGCCCCGTAAGGTTCGCCATGCTGGTTTGTTTACATCTAGGTAGTTTGGCGTGAATGACCTGGAATGCTACAAAGTCGTAAGTCGTGGTTTGAAGTCGTGATTTACGTGCTCAAAAACATGCCTGGAACGCAGCATTTAACTACACTGAAAAAAATGATTTTTGCTGCTTGTTCAAATCGCTTAATTAAAATTAGCTTAAGCAACATAATTGCTTTACATTTTGTCCAAACTTAATTTGATTGTGTCCAATCTGCTTAAATATATGTACAATTTAAGTTTACTTAATCCGTTTGTGTTGGGTTTACTTAATCCGTTTGTGTTGGATAACATGAATGATTTGTGTTGCATTAACTGAAATTGGGCGGTGCATGTTAATTCCCAGCATGCTTTGCATATGTCTGAATTACGAGAGAATAAATGTTGAAATTAAGTGTTATTTTATATGTTTTTGAGAAAATAGGAAAAGGTTAGTGTGTAATTGTGTTTAATGTTCAATTACATTGGAATTATTAGAACCATTTAAATTACAGTTGGTTACCATTGTGGAGAAGAGTGGATGATTTGGTTAGGCTGTGGACCGATTCAACTATGTTTATAGCAACTGCTTTATGCTGATGGTGAATGTATACCTCAGCTTTCAGTATGCCACCAAGTACTATTGATAGCTAACTGCAGGCTATAGACTAGATTTTGAGATGTGTGACAAATACATTCAATCTTAATTGGATAAATGAATATATGAATTTGAATACCTGAAATAGCCAATCAGGGAGCCTTTTAAAATCACTTTGAGACTACTTAATTGGATAACTTAAAATGACTTAATTCCATGACATTGAAGATACATGAATAAATTATGTTTGTGTAACTTAATTGGTTCATGTGGGACCGATGTACACTATCAAATCATGTAAATCCAACAGACTTTTTTTTTCAGTGTACTATGTAGGCTAGTAATATTTAAATCAAAGACCCCTTGTGGTGAAAATCAAGTTTTTAAATGTTGTTTTTATGTCTATGTGGTGTTTTTAATATGCTTTAAGACAAACCATGTGCGAATTCATAAGTCACACCATTGCTGAGTATTTTCTCCTGAAAACTGCAGTGAATCAAAGACAGTCTCAAAAACACGGTTCGAAATCGCTGGTGTTTCTGACGTCACAAAAACTACCTTATAACCAATCATGTCTCGAGGGGGGCGGGCTTAGGCATATCATTAACTATGACCGCTCTGAAGCAGGGGAGTCTCAAGAGAAGACAGGTTATGCCCATTTAATTTTCTGTTGATATGAAAAATCGTCTACATTTAGCAATATAGCGGGTGAATTATGAATATGATGTATATTACAATGTTATGATGAACTATGTGCATTTCTCCATTGACGTTCATGGCGTTTCTAAGGGTGCTGGTTGTTAGAACTGAGACACGAATGGGAACATGGTTTTTGTGACATTATCAACACATCATTAGCTGTTTGAGAACGTAGTCAAGACAAAGGCTAATCACATTAATTACTGTTATGTGTCCGACGTCGAACAGAGCGATTTATAAAACGCATCACCATTCTGAAACATCGACTAGACGAGCCTGTATAATTCAATCTTCCACTTCTTCTAAATCCGTTTCTGGTTCTATCATATATGGCTGAATTAAACCAGTATTTCCACTTGTCATTGTGTAGGAGGGCATATTCATGGTTCAACATATACTACGTTCCACGTATAGCCTACTAAATGAGGCAAGGGTGTAGAGTTACATTCTAGCTATTTTGGCATGCATGAATTAATTATTCCCACAGGAAAAATCGTTTAAATATGTCATTTTGGTGATCAAAGATGAGATTTAAAGGGGTGGTATAATGCCCTTTTCACAAGATGTAAAATAAGTCTCTGATGTCCCCAGAGTGTGTGTGTGTGTGTGTGTGTGTGTGTGAAGTTTTAGCTCTAAATACACCACAAATATCTTTATATAGCATGTTAAAGTTGTCACTTTTTGAGGGTGAGCAAAAATGCACTGTTTGTGTGTGTGTTCCTTTAAATGGAAATGATGCTCCCAGATCAGGAGGCGGAGCTACAAGAGCTCAGGTCTATTCACCAAACACAGAGACACACTGAAAACGTAAAAAAAAAACTTTCTGAATTGATAGCTTAATTGGTAGCTTATATGTGGTTATCTTCTAGTCATTGACAGAGATGTATAGTAACGAAGTAGAACTACTTCAGTACTGTACTTAAGTACTAAAATGCTGTATGTACTCTACCAGAGTATTGTTTTTTTCTCATACTTCTACTTTTACTTCAGTAGATATTTTTGATGAATTTAATACTTTTACTTCGATATTTTTTTTAAATGTTCTGCTAGTTACTCGTTACAATTATACAAATTTTACGAATCATTCGTTGCAAGTTGGCTTTCATGCTGCCTAAATCACACGCCAGTTTTATAGGGTAATGGGATTGATTGACAGACACACACACATTGACAACTAATGCTAATCATTAATCAACTAATCATTTTTGGGCACAAGGAGTTTGGGAACAATCTAGCTGGTAATTGTGGACTATTGTTTAACAATATCCATAGTTTTGTGAAGAACCTTGGAGTATTTTTCGACTCCGAAATGCGTTTTGATCGTCAAGTTAACAGTGTTGTGAAATCCTCTTTCTTTCACTTGAGAAAATTGTCCAAGCTGAAACCAATCCTTTCATATAAGGACTTGGAGATTGTTTTACATGCTTTCGTTTTAACCAGGTTAGATTATTGTAATGCTCTTTATCTAGGCATAAGTGATTCACTGGTTGGCCGTCTTCAGCGTGTCCAAAATGCTGCGGCGAGATTTTTAACAAATACCAAGAAACGTGATCATATAACACCCGTATTGATATCTCTTCACTGGCTACCTGTTAAATACAGAATACAATATAAGGTGTTATTATTTGTTTTCAAAGCATTACATGATCTAGCTCCTGAATATATAAAGGACATGTTAAGCCTGCGTCAGTCTCAACGCCATCTACGCTCCTCGCAGAAAATGCTTCTAACTGTCCCTCGGTCTCGCCTGAGGCGTAGTGGAGATCGAGCCTTTTCCGTTGCGGCTCCTGCACTCTGGAATGTGCTGCCATTATCTCTCAAATCGTCGTCAAGCACGGACATTTTTAAAAAGGATTTGAAGACTTATTTATTTCATCAAGCTTTTGGCATTTGAGTAGGTCCGAGAACTGTGAGCGATTTGTGGGTTGATTATCTGAGTGTCATGTCTTGATGTAATTTTATATCTCTGTGTATTATTTATTGCCGGTGGACAGCACTTTGGTCCATTTTAATGGTTTTGAAAGTGCTTTTATAAATAAAGGTTGAGTTAAGTTGAATGCAGGGGTTGTCCTGCAATGACACTTATTTGGCGGCCGCCAAAGCAAATTTGTATCCCCCCCAAAGCGCCTTATTTGATTGCTAGTTCAAACTAGCAGCTTTCTTTAATAATTACATGACACAATACTTGTAGTTTTACTTTTAGTAAGTAGTGAATTTTAAAATAAACTACTTGCAATACTTAACTACAAAAATGTTGAATACTTTAGCACTTCTACTTAAGTGTGGTGCTTAAAGAGCACTTCGACTTCTACTCAAGTCACTTTTTTGACAGAGCAATTGTACTTTTACTCAAGTCCGGGTTTCTAGTACTTTATACATCTCTGGTCATTGATTAGTTCTGTCTTGATAATCTATAAATCAGGTTCCGGGGGCAGGGTTTATGTAAATATTGGGATTAGTGGTGTCACTAACCAGGGAGGTTTATCATGACTACCGGCCGTTTGTTGTAGTCCTTAAAAAGTAATTTCTTCTGCTTTGAACTTTGAGCGTCATAACTTTGCTGATGTTTATGCTCAAACAGCAACATTACACACTAACTAAAGTTAGAAAAGTGAAATCATAATCAACCACCCCTTTAAGAGATAAAATGATTGACTACAAGGGGGCGTTAATCATTTGATACAATACACTTATTTTGTACATACACAAAAAATCCGTAACAATTTATTTTAAGGTAAGGTTAGGTCAACTTTATTAACCCAAAGGGCAATTTCTTTCACAGCCAGTAGTAAACCATACAATCATACAATGAATAAACACCACCACAACACACAAAAAGAAAGGAAGAAAAAAGGACTTCAATAAATAATTTACCTTGAATACATTTAAAACCAATGGCAGCTGGTACAATTTTTTTTTTTTTTTTTAAATATTAGTCCCATCTACATTTGCCAGTACCAAGTGATGTAGTTACATGTTACGACATGTACTTACTATAGTAAAAACAGTCAATTATGCATAATTACAAGAAACGAAAAAAAAGCCAGTTCATGACCCCTTTAAACAAATTCGGCAAAAAGTATTTTTGGGGAATTCTACCTACCCCACCTTCAACACTTTATTTTAGTGTCTTTGTTAAACGTTACAAGTACTTACTACAGTAATAACAGTAAATTATACATAATTACAAGCAACTATCCCTAAACCACAATATTTACCTGTAGTTGACTAGTATTATTGTATAATTACACTGTAACAAGCATATCCGAGAACAGTGCAACCCAATAATTATTTTTGATGCAAGTACATAGTAGTAATTAAAGACAGCTAATATAAACAGTGACCAAAACAGCAAACCCCAATCGCACGCTGATGTTTTCAGCAGATATATTCGTAAAAACAGAGCAAGTAGAGAGCAGCTGCATTCAACATGCAATTGCAAGTGTGCACTTAACGAACCACTCAAGTGTGTCCAACACACTTTGAGGATGGAGAAAAAGACCAGCATAATAAACACTTACCTTCCATCTGCCCTAAGAGACCAGCAGCCTGAGATCCTGGCTCCCGAGTATGCTGGGAGTGTGTTCATGACGGGACAGACAGATGAGATGAGATGAGACTTCCAGAGAAAGATCAGCGCTAATGTAACCGCCGGGACGTACACATACACGGGCGCTCAGAGCGCCTGCCCTCTGGCAGTGGCAACCCGAGCGGAGCGAGAGAACAGGAAGGAAAAAACGAAAGTGAAGCAGAGGGGAAGAAAACAAAACTGTGCTTTCTATGTCGGTTTTGTTTTACCAGTCACTATAGCGTTAATGGGCCGGGACCTTTCCCTCGCCCTAACATGCTACTATGGACACTGCCAACAAACGTAAGAGGATAACCTGTCCCGCAGATTATGTTTGGCGGGTGGTATTAATAGCAGCAGGTTGGAAACACGCAGAGCTCACACACCCCTCCGCTGGCCTCTCACGGGGCGGCTCATCTGTCTGGGACACTCACACAGGCTGTTACTGACGCGGGACGGTGACAGAGCGCGAGGCAAAGCAGCGATTTTGAATTGTGGACATAAACAAATCAGGTTGCTCTGTGAAGCGGGAGCGCTGGAGGAGAGGCGCTCTGAGATCACCTTATCAACAGGCCCGTCCTCTGGGGCGTCGCTCCACCTGCTCCCCCTCCCGGGACACCCCTCCCTCACAAACATCATGATGAAACTCCGTCGCAGCCCGCGCTGGGGTGTGTTTCACAAAAGCATCGTTGGCCAATTTCCACTGAACTCTATTGGTAACGACCATGGTTGGCTTTGGGAAACTATCCCGAGTCAGCATCTAAACTGAATGAAGCTAATTAGATGTTTAAGTGTTAGGAGGATTTTAATAATTCATGATTGTTATGTAATGCAGAAAGTTGAACATGTAAACTTGCTATTAGAATCAACCAGAAAGATTAAAACATCATAGCTGTTAAACTCATACAAATCCCAAACGTCTTCAGTCACATGATCCTTGAATATGAAACTTAAGAAACATTTATAACGATTATCAAATATCAATGTTGATATGTTTAAGAAAACCAGTTTTTTTTCAGGATTGTTAATGAATATAAAGTTCAAAGTAACAACGTTTAACTGAAATATAAATCTTTAGTAACATTATGAATGTCTTCACTGTCACTTTTGATCAATTTAATGCGTCTGTGCTGGATAAAAGTATTAATTTCTTCTTTTTTTTTTTCAAACCTAAAATAAGTATATTCAAAGCCCAGAAGAGGAGATGACCAACATGGATGCAGTTACGCAATGGAGATTCTTTGTACGAGATAAACCTCTTAACCATCTTATTCTCCTTTTAGATCTCGCCCCCAAATGCCAAGACTTCCTCTTTCTACTTCAATCCTAAACACGTGTATGAAAGACAATAGGCTTGTTTGAGATGAGCAAAATCCGCGCAGAACTGATCACCGGTGATCAGTGCGAGAAATGTGTCTGAGTGCGGTATGTCAAAAAACTCTCGCGAGCGCAAGGCGCACCTGTCGGATTGTGCAGTCGCACGCAGTTGCTCTCCACTAGGGGTGTAAATCGGACAGTTAATCACGATACGATATACGATATCGATTCTCTCAGCCAGCGATACGATATTTGCCGATACATCAAGAAATTCTACGATATGATTACGATTCGATTCAGGGCTATATCGATCGATTAATCGATATTTAGAAACTATGTGCCAAGTGTACACAACCAGTTACATTTATTAACTCATAATACATCCAAAAAAATACATCACATGAAAGTTTAATTCAACTCTTTGAAAATTGCACACCCTCGCCCAATTGGGACATTTACAAGTTGTTTGTTACAAGTAAAAAAACAAACAAGAACAATTTTATTAGAGTTTAGAGTTATTTTTTTTTTTGCAATTAACTCTTCTGTTATATTAAAGTTAATTGAAAGGATTTATATAGGCTACAGTATATGACCTGAATACTGCACACTGATTTGCTAAAATAGACTTTTCGGGGCTTGTCGCTTCTGCTGTAAAACATAAACTCGCAATGCTTTTACAGTGGAAACCACCTGCATTTGTGACAAAGGGTTCAGTCAATCTTGTCAGATGTCTATTTTTAGTGGAGAAAAGTTGTGAGGATGTGGAGTGTGTCAAAATCAAGGTACCGTCTATCAATATTTTGTGTGAGGTATTGATGCATCGAATCGTTAGACGTTTGATAGATGCATCGATCTATATCGATGTATGTTACACCCCTACTCTCCATTGACAGCGCTGATCAAAAGCATGATGGGAAATTACTTGCTGACGACACAGCTTAATGCTCATTGGTTTAAACAACAGTGACTGATGTATTGTTCCTTATTAAAACTGATATCATGTTTTATGTGTGTATATATATATATATATATATATATATATGAGTGAATAAACTCTCTGACAGTGTGATAAGAACACATCTGTATTAACCCTTTCATGCATGAATTATGATAACCTCAGTCAGGATTTTTTTCCTTTGTGTTTTTATTGCCCTTAGGGCATGAAAAACAAGATTTGATTTGATTTTTTTTTTTTAAACAAATTTTTCAAAGAGATTTTCAGATGTCCACTTCAGTGGACAGCATGCATTTATATTTTAAACTGAAGAGATACTGTATTAAACATAATACAATAATCAAACAGATAAATTATGTGTATTTAACAAACTAATCAATACAATTACATCAAATCATGTGAAAACTATAAAATATATGAAAATATATATATAAATCCGAAATATTGCAAAGGCAATTGACCTGCATACAAGTTGCACTTCGTGTATCTTGGATATCAGAACATGATGATGTGATTCCATCAGAAATGTCTACAGCCTGTCAATGTACAATTGTGGAAACACTCAGATGCTTCCTCCAGTGTGCCAGAGTATGTCAATTTACCCTTATTAGCTGATAATTCTGATTATGTTAGAGATGGACACATCTTCTGAGATGTGTCCATCTTCTGAGAAAACCTAGTGATACATTTTTTTAAATCTCATCTGAAATGAGCAGTGTTGGGCCAGGCATAACGCATTCAGATTATTTGGTTGATGTTACAAGGAAAGTAATGTGTTAGAAGTAACATGCATTACATAATCAGATTTGTTTTAATGTTTCGAGTAAAGTAATGTATTACAAGTAATATGCATTACCTACTCAGATTACTTTTTGATCTAACAATTAATTACAAGTAATGTGCATTACGTAATCAGATTACATTTTGTTGTTACGAATAAAGAAACGCATTACAAGTAACATGCATTACATAATCAGATTACTTTTTGATCTAACAAGTAATGCACTACAAGTAACATGCATTATTTAATCAGATTAATTTTGATCTAAAGTAATGCATTACAAGTAACATGCATTATTTAATCAGATTACTTTTTGATCTAACAATGCATTACAAGTAACATGCATTACATAATCAGATTAATTTTGATCTAACAAGTAATGCATTACAAGTAACATGTATTGTGTAATCAGATTACTTTTTGATCTAACAATGCATTACAAGTAACATGCATTACATAATCAGATTAATTTTGATCTAACAAGTAATGCATTACAAGTAACATGTATTGTGTAATCAGATTACTTTTTGATCTAACAATGCATTACAAGTAACATGCATTACATAATCAGATTAATTTTGATCTAACAAGTAATGCACTACAAGTAACATGCATTATTTAATCAGATTACTTTTTGATCTAACAATGCATTACAAGTAACATGCATTACATAATCAGATTAATTTTGATCTAACAAGTAATGCATTACAAGTAACATGTATTGTGTAATCAGATTACTTTTTGATGTTACGAGTAAAGAAACATAGGTAAACAGATATTTTTTGATCTAAGAAGTAATGCATTATGTAATTAGATTACTTTTTGATGAAATGAGTAAAGTAATGCATTACAAGTCACAAATTATGTAATTACATAACTTTTTTAGACGTCAATGAAAATTACATTCTAATAATACAACTACATTTATTTACAGTCAAAAAAAGTTACTGCAGATTAAGTATTTTCAAAAACAATATTCACAGTATAAGTATAAATTGTAGCTAAAATATAGCCATTGATGCATGAGGTCCACTATAGTGGACGGGTGATTTTTCAGATTTTTCTCCCAATCTAAAATCAAAACTTGGAAAATTTTACTGTGATATGACTCATTAGATACTGCTTGATGCTGCAATATTTTTTTTACCTACAAGAGTGTCCTAGGATAGAAGGAATGGGTGGATATTCCGGAGCACCTTGGCATGTCTGACTGGCCATTGGCCATCTTGGTTTTGAGGGGGAAAAAAAAAATCAAAACTCAATGGCTTATAACTTTGTTGCAATGCATAGGATGATGCACCAGGGTCCACTGAAGAGATTGATGTGCAACTTTCCCATCAAAACCCTTGCAAATTCAAGAAAATGCTTTTTAAATAGCTGTCCACTGTAGTGACCACTATGAAAGGGTTAAAGAAAAAATGATTGATAAATACATATTGGAATGTAATTAAATAACAAGCACTTTGGGTGTCATGTTCATTATATTTATTTTCAAATAAAAGCAACAGAACTTAAATCACATCCAGTTTATTAGCAACACGTGCACGAGCGTGAATCCCGTTAATCCCGCGATATCAGACTTTGATCTCACAGGTGTCTGATCTGATCCACTGAGAGAACCGAAATCTGTCCGCCTTGACTGCGCTTTTTCACTCCTCTCACTGCAGCCGCCAACTCTCGCATATATTTCAGGTGAGGCAAGGCCCATCTCAAACAAGCCTATTCCCAACAACAACAACAACAACAACAACAACAACAGCAGCTGCTGGTTTGGTGTGAAGGCACAGTCACGTGACACGAGCTCGCGGTGATGTCACAGAGTTAGAAGAGCGCGCCCTCTCGCGTCGCTCTGCCGCGCTGCAACACGGAGTGATCATGATTCAGCTTGATAAATATAAAAAAAACTATAATACAGTTGCAGAGTCGCATTACATAGAAAATACAACTCTAAATGTTTCTGTTACTTAATAATTTATTTGACCTATTATTATTAGTTTAAAATACCATTCAAACATGTATTATTAAGCCAACCCAACAAACAGGTGTCGTTCACAATACTGTTTAGAGGAAGTGAAGTTATTTTAATTACATGTGGTTGAAAAACGGTCCAACGAAATAACGGCGATGATCTACACGAGTCACTATCAGACTCTCCTGAGACCTTCACGACATGTGCGTCGGTGTCATTCACCAGGGGTGAGCAGCAGGAACACACATTTCCTGACAGTCAGACCATTTCATTTTAAACAGAACCAGACGCACAAACACAACATATTCACAGTCATTGACTGAAACGAGACGAGGAAACAGGGTTACAGTTTCATAAGTGCTTAAACTAAAGACACGTCTCTCCCATAGACTGTAAGGTCTCTCCACACATCTTGTTAGTTTAGGAGGGGTTTATAAATATCACCAGAGGTATATATAATCAACGCGTGTATTGCAGAGTGCCAGAAACACGCGAGACGCACCAGAAACTCCAGCACGCACGCGACAGTCACTGTGCGCTCGTCGTTTAATGTTCACACTCTTATTAAGATCACGGGGAAC